TGAGATAATCTATGAATAATTTGAATATATATGTATATAAACAATAAAACCTATAATTTGAATATATATGTATATAAACAATAAAACCTATTGCTGAGGAATTTGGCTTGGCTGTAACACATTGGTATGTGGCCTCATATACGTTTCATGCATCATCGACTGCATAACATGAATATATTTGAATAAGTTATATTTATGTACTAATAGTGGCATGATAGATTGAAAAACATTTTAGAGTTAAAAAATACTTGTTGCCGAGAGATTTGATCAGATTGTAACACAATGCCACATGGTTGAAGGCAAGTCTCGTGCACGAATGTCTACAAGATAAATAATATCATCAATTAAGCTTTCAAAATTAAAATTTATGTAAGTATTAATAGCTTGTTAGCAATGGTGTCTCAAATACCACCTCATTTATATATATTGCGGGCTGTTCCTTCTTGAGTTTTTTTTCCAATCCGCTTTTGGGTCTCTTACCCGAAATAATTCTTGATTTATTCTTTTATCCTTTTAACAAGGACTTCGCCTTCTTTGCTTGAATTCAAATTGGGATCTTCGCAATGCAATCCACTTTATTACTTTGTAACTGTTTATTCACCTTCTCAATGGCCTTTATGAATATATATTTCATTAACTTGTATATTTCCTTACCCTCGGAAGCTCTTTAACCAATTTACTGAAAAACATACTCAAATCCTTATATCGAATGCTTAATTGTTTCTTAGGGTCGTCAGTTGCTTGTTCAACAAAAACCATTCCACCATGTGAATCTCTTTTTTTTATTTTTTTATTTTACTCTTCGTCCACCTCTTCATTATATATCCCTTGGGAACCCTCTTTACATTATTTGTTGTAAGAACTTTTAATCCATATGAGCATAATATCCTAAAAAATTACAATTTTTTACAACAACAAACGGTGTCATTAGACGAATTGTATGTAACAACATGACTCTTTGATCTTCCAAAATAACTGACATGATATTATATATATAAGTGGCATATGTGCGACTAACAACACCGACACAATCGTATGTTTTTTCCAACTCTTGTTGGAAAATCTTAAATGCTTATAGGGTATATAAGCTTGCAACATGCTTCAACGTTGGACATGGAGTCGTTTGAACAGGTGCGTAGGTGCTCGCTTTGAAGTCGCCTTTAATTGTTCGTAACACCTAAATTCTAACAAATTTTAAAACCTTTAGATAAAAGACCGGAAACTATTCTTATAGTTGACATACCTTTTGACGACATTGTTGATACTTTCACTACATTGTGTCGTAGTAATATCAACACAAAAGAACCGATGATCGTATACCAATGCACATTTTCCCTTAACTCCGAATAATCGCTTCAACCAGTCATTTTCCAACAATCCGTATTTTACTAGCATTTCATTCCAACCTACCAAAAAATTATCTTCTTCGTCAAAATCATATATGCATCTTCTATAGTCATGTGCAAAGGTTTTATGTTCAAAGAAAATAAAACTCAAATGTATTGCAGTATTTTGATAAATATGTCAAATACATGGCCTAAAAGTTGAACAAAAATTAAACAAATTAAATCATTGCAATGTATTTATCCTTTCTGAAAATAAAAAGCAAAAGTATTACACCCTTTTGATATATGTATAAAATACACAATTTGTGATAAGTCTCAGGCCATATCGAAGCCAATGCATTTTCCAGAGCAACATCTTGATCGTCAAAATCGTAGTAGATTTTCTCTCATATATTGTCTCAGAAAAAATGTCAAACAACCACTGAAAAAATGAAATAGTGTCATCATATAAAAGTCTCACCCCGAAAACAACTGTTTGCTTATGATGATTAACTCCAACAAATAAGGCCAAATGACGATTTTCTCTATTTTTTCTAAGCGTAGTATCAAAACTTACTACGTCACTAAAATCAACATAATCAACTTTCATCCTCCCATCAATCCAAAATATGTTTGTAATTAATCCGTCCTTGTCCACTTGATTCGAATAAAAAAAAAATTGGGTCTCTTATTTGCATCCACTGCAAATATTCTAACACCCATCAAATATTCCCAACCTTCATGTATTTTATCCTTTTGGTTCGTAAGTAATATTTATAATCTTGCATGATGAATCCAATGCTATTTCAGCAACCTGCTTCCTTAAGCATAAGATCATGCGAGACTTTTGGAGCAAGCCCCACATATTCACCCATACAATCTCAGCGGCATGAGCATCAAATATTCTTATATGGGATCTATGTAAATGACTCTTATGAGAATTAGTCAAATGATGATTATGTTCAAATATGAACTCGGATACTTGATACTTCACACCGTTCTTCAAACGACTTTTCATCATAGCCTTACAGTTAAATATTGTTATAACTCGCGGAGTTCTCACATAGATATTTCGTTTATCTCCCCTCAATTTACCTTTAACACTACAATAAAATAATCTATCAATTATCTCTCCACTTTGATTTTATGAAATTTGTGACAGTTTTATGCCAAAGCCCATTTTCTTAGCATAAGCGAGGTAGAACTTGTACTCATCTTCTTGCAAATTAGACTTCATTCCAATTCGAGGAGTTTAACAATCATTCAACTGATCTGATAGTGTACTACTTCCACCAACATTTTGTCTCTCATCATCTGCATTCAAAAAGTCAATACGAGATTACGCAAATTTATTCATCGCTGGAGAATTAGCTTCCATAGAACTATACAATAAAAAATAAAAAATACGAATAATAAAAAAACTAATATGAACATATTGACAAAAAATTGGTCAACAACTATCAAATATATTTTAAACACAATTTATTAACAATATTCAATATAAAAATAATAATAAACTTTTTAACATTCCTTTAAACAATTTCAATACTAAATTGAAAATTTTAAATCTTAAATCGAAGCTAAATAAAATTAAAAATTAACTCAATTAAAAATATCAAATCAAAAAAACTTCAAGACAAAATCAATAGAATGGTTGATTTCAGAGAACTAAAAAATACTTAGATAAAATAAAAATTTACGAAAAGAATAAGCAATCACATACCACAAGTTTATGTACTGAGTTTTACGATAAAATTAAAAAAAAAATCAATAACATAAAAAAAAAATACGATAACAGAATCTTACTGCTGAAGACAAAGACAATGGAGAAGAAAACTAAAGATAAGGAGGACTTTTTTTTATGTTTTAATTTTAGATAATAAATAATCAAAGTTATGGTGTATTTGTTGTGAGTGAATTTTTTATTTGGATTTTGGAATAATAAAAAGTTGAAATATTGTTTGATACCATATAAATAGCCATTGATGTAATATTTTGAAATTAAAATAAAATTACAGTATAATATAAAAAATAAAAAGGATAAATTATATAACACCTCGTGTGTGTTAGTAAAAATGCATAAAACATCCTATGTTTTATTTATTGCGTGAAGCTTCCTTGTGTTAATGTGAAATTGCATGAAACACCGTATTTGTCCAAAATTAACGTTTAGTTCTAAAAAAATATTTAAATAACGCAAATTTAATACAAATAAAAAATATAAAATTTCTTAAATAATTTTTTTTTTATAAAATAAATAAATAAATAATTAATCAATCATTTATTTTTATAATTTTTTTAAAAATCAGATACAATTTTTCTGTAAAAATTATAAAAGAAAGGGTTAATAAGTTATTTATTTATTTATATTATTTAAAAAAATTATTTAAAATATTTTATTTTATAAAACTTACTTTTTCTAGAACCAAATATAAATTTTGAAAATTAATAATAAAAAGATGTAACCAAAATAAACACAACCTAATAATGTTTGGACCGATGACATTTTTTTACCCTTTCCTTCATCCCTTCACTCTTTTTTTACTTTTCTTTCTTCGTTGCAGACTTACTCTCTTTCTTTTTTTCTTTTTTTTTTTTTCATTTTACACGCTACACCACCATCATGGACCACGTCAGCCACCGAGGCCGCTGCTCAGAAGTTCAGGTTTGATTTTTCTTTTCTTTTCTTTTTTTTTTTATTAATTAAAAAATAATAAAATCTAGATTAAAAAACCCACAAATAATCATAGCCCAAAAATCCATAATTAAATAGAACCCAAGTTTTGATTGTTGTTTCCATCCAAAACTTCATGTTATTCTATCAATGATTATGACTTGCTATGACTATTGTATATGGATTTGAATATATATATATATATATATAAAACAACGACGTTACGCTAGAAAACACCATCAACAAACATTATATGTCAATTCAGTCTGTGACACGTAAGGAAGGAACGAAGAAATAAAAGAAGGTAAGAACATCGTCAGCTTCCTTGAAACTTAAGAGATATATATATATATATATATTAACACCTGATATATAATATGAAACCCTCAAAGTCCATCTGCCATGCATTGTTAGATTCGGTCCGGAGTTTTACCCGGTGCGCACTTTTGAATAACAGTTGCGGATCTCATGTTATAAAAAAAAGATTACAATATATATATATATATATGTGGCGGCAGCTACAGTGCTGAACAGTAATGGTATTAGTACATACAATACATTGTATATGTTAATATAATACAAATAGGTCATATAAACAAAGAAGAGATATTATAGTATCGTGTGTGCTGTTTGACAACACACGGTATTATTACAGACAACACATTGTATATATTAATATAATACAAATACATCATATGAATTAATTACACATGTTATAGTCTCGTGCAGTACAAATAATAATTAATTTTAACACATCATATGCTTTTATACAACACATTTATTATTATAAAAAAACAGCACATATATTTATTATAGACAAGATAACATATGTTGTGTATAATAATATTGTATGTTATTTGTACATATAATTTGTACTGAGTTCAAAAGAAAATCAGCATGGTCCACCCTAACCATCTTGAGAGAGAGATATATATATATATAATATCGATCTATAAGCTCAAATGGCCACCATCGTCTTCCTCCCAACTAACTAACAAAATCTATCTTATCTGAATCTGATGGGGAGACCTATTTCCATTTCTATTTCTATTTCTTTCTTCTTCAGTACTGTTATTACACAGTACAGCTTCCTAATCCTATCAATTAACTCTCAAACAGCAGCAGATCAAGATCAAGATGCACTGTTAGCCTTTAAATCATCAATAACCTCAGACCCTTCCCAAATCACCACAAGTAACTGGACCACCACCAGTACCCCATGCCGCTGGAAAGGCATCTCCTGCACTACCGCCGGCAGAGTCACCGCCGTTAACCTCTCCGGCTTCGGCCTCGCCGGAACCATTCCTCCGCACGTCGGCAACTTGACCTTCCTCACTTCTTTCGACATTCGGTCCAACAACTTCTCCGGATCCCTGCCTCATCAATTCTCTCACTTGCGCCGACTACAGGTCTTCGACATCGGCTCCAACAACTTCGCCGGAACCCTACCGCCGTCGATCGGAATCCTTGCAGAACTCCGATCACTTTCACTCGACGACAACAACTTCTTCGGCACAATTCCGGCGACGTTTGGCAACAACTCCATGCTACAAATTCTAAATTTGAGCTACAACTCTCTCGCCGGAAACATTCCTCCGGATATTGCTAATCTCAGTTCCATCAAAACTTTCGAAATCATGTACAACCGAATCACCGGCGCCATTCCAGGCAGCATCTTCAACCTTTCTTCTATGGAGGCAATTGGTTTTTCTGGCAATGCGCTTTCCGGCACTCTTCCGGGCTATATGTGCGACCATGCCTCGAAACTCAAGGAACTCGACATCACCAGGAATCAGCTCAGCGGCGAAATTCCGTTCGACATTTACAAGTGCCGCGAGCTTGAAAAGTTGTTGTTGTTTGACAACCATTTCAATGGCACAATACCGAAGTCGATTGGATCGCTTGCAAAGTTGCGAACTTTACGACTAGGTATTAATGACTTCGAAGGTACATATAATGTCCTAATTTCTACACACAATGTATCATTTCGGTTTCCATGCTGACTGTTTATTTGACGTGTCACCTTAAGTCAGTGAGGTAGATTCATATATATTTCATAACATATCATAATACAATATACGATACATATTTTGATAATGCATAATATAATTCATATAGCGCAATATATTATTGATTTCAGTGCATACTTCTATTATAAGATACAATATTGTGATATACTATGGATTTACATGCACTATCTGTCTTGTTGATTGTATAGATGCGAACTTTACGACTAATGACTTTGAAGGTACATATGTTGTACTAATTTCGACATACAATGCATATATGATGGATGAATCACTTGATTTCGATTGTTCGTCCGGTGTAAATAATCATATCACATAAAAGTTAAATTTAAAGAGATATGCATTATCTATTTATTTAACTTGTATCCCATTAGCTTTTAAGCTTTTTAGGTTAAGTGACATAGTCATTTAACCTAGTGTTTTAAAGATCTCGCAATATTTGACTTTAGATAGTATTAAATATAATAATTTGAAAATTAAGTGATGTAACATTAGAGCAACGAGGAGCAACGTAAAGTGTAGGATAAAGATTATGTATATTTAATTATTTTTTATTTTATAAATATTTCAAAATGTTTAAGAGAGATAAAAAATAAAATATTGCAGAATATTTGGAACAGAGACAATATTATTTAATCATTTAACGGATTGAGTTGTCATAGCCCTTTAAGTTTAAGTTTTTAGGTGAGATGATTATTTAATATCGTATGTCTTGTAGGGAGCATTCCGGTGGACCTTCACAATCTCTCGGAATTAGAGGTTTTCGGCATCAGCAGCGCGGCGCTTACAGGGCAGATCCCTTCTTTCATCTTCAACATGTCCTCTTTACTAGAAATAAATCTTTCCAACAACAGCCTGTCCGGAAAGATTTCGAATGAAATATGGAACTGTCCAAATCTCGATCACTTGGAGCTGTCGCGGAATGAGTTCACCGGCAACATACCAAACCATCTTGCCAACCTCACGGCTCTAACATACATAAATTTGGGCAGTAACAGCTTCACAGGTAACTAATCGAATAGTTTCATCGCATAGACAAATATAAACACATCGTAAGAAGTCCTCGATCTGTATCGACAGGTGGATTACCAGCTGAGCTTGGAAATCTTAACTTTAGGGAGTTCAAAGTCTTCGACAATAATCTTACAGGTAGCATCCCGGCGTCGATGTTTAACAAGTCGATAATGGAAGTCTTCGAGCTTTCAGCCAACCGTTTCTCCGGGCAGCTTCCTTCAACTTTCGGCCTTTATCTCCCGAGCCTGCGCGGGCTTTTTATGTTCGACAATCAGCTCAGTGGAGCAATTCCAGCGACTGCTCGCAACATTTCAAACCTTATCGAATTTGAGTTGGGGAGTAACTCTTTCTCAGGATCGATGCCGAGCTTTAGTAATATGAGATTGCTGAAGTACTTCTACGTTGGCGATAATAATCTCACCGGAGACTCGCCGAATCAAGAACTGAGATTTCTATCTTTGTTAACAACTTGTACACAGTTGAAGGGGGTCGATGTTTCGCTAAATCAGCTCAATGGCACGCTTCCGGCTGCGATAGGAAATTTCTCGTCTTCGATGGAGCAAATTTTGGCGATTAGTAATGGGATTCGAGGATCAGTTCCCGCTGAGATCGGTAACGTGACGAATTTGCAAGAGCTGTATTTGACAGGCAATGAGTTAACAGGTTTCGTCCCAAGAACACTAGGAAGGCTCGAAAAGCTCGTTCAACTGCATTTGGAGCGCAACAAGCTCGATGGATTCCTCCCGGTCGAGCTTTGCGAGTTGAGGAATTTGGGCGACGTTAATGTGAGCTATAATGCGCTACGAGGATCGATTCCGCGATGCTTTGGTGAGCTTAAATCGCTTCGAAGATTGTCGCTCGACTCTAACGAATTCGAATCCAACGTGCCCTCGAACATTTGGAACCTTACGGATCTTCTCAACTTGAACTTGTCCCACAACATGTTTGATGGATCTTTGTCATCGAGGATTGGAGACTTGAAGGTGATCACATCGCTAGACTTGTCGTGGAATCGATTCTCAGGTGAAGTTCCGAGTTCGATAGGCGAAGCAGAGTCACTGGCGATCTTGTCGCTAGAGCATAACGTGTTTGAAGGATCGATACCTACGTTGTTGGGAGAGTTAAGAGGTTTGGAGTCGTTGGATTTATCTTACAACAACTTTTCAGGATCCATTCCGGATTCGATAGAAGGACTCGTCTACCTCGAACACTTTAATGTATCTTACAATAGACTCGAAGGTCGGATTCCATCCGGAGGTAATTTCGAAAACTTTACATCTTCATCGTTTGCGAAGAACTACGCTCTATGCGGCGCAGCTCGTTTCGGGGTTCCACCTTGTAATGAAGAGCACAGAAACAGAGCAAGTTCAGTCTCGCTGGCGAAATACATCGCGCCGCCTTGCGCATTAGCCGTCGTTGCGCTGATCGTCGCTGTTGCGATGATTATAAGAAGTCGAAGATTAAGAAAAGAGGTTCTTGATGAAGAAAACTCCTCTTTGGTCCATCCATTGGTAAGAAGATCTTACCTAGAACTTGTAAGGGCAACAAATGACTTCGACGACAGCAACCTACTCGGAAAAGGAAGCTTCGGCTCGGTGTACGTCGCGACGCTTTCTGATGGCGCGACGGTCGCGATAAAAGTTTTTAATTTGGAGTCGGAGAAGGCAGCCGAAAGTTTCGTCACAGAAATCCGCGTATTGAGCGGCGTTCGCCATCGTAATTTGATCAAAATACTGGGCTACTGCAGCGAGCCCGGTTTCAAAGCGATGGTTTTGGAGTACATGCCGAAAGGGAGCCTCGAAAAATGGCTGTATTCCCACAACTACTCGTTGGATTTGCTACAACGACTCAAAATCGCGATCGACGTCGCATTCGCCTTGGAGCATCTTCATCTTCGAAACGCGACGCTGATCGCGCACTGCGATCTGAAGCCGAGCAACGTCTTGCTCGACGAAGACATGACGGCGCATGTCAGCGATTTCGGTTTGGCTAAGCTCTTCGGGGAAGGCGAATTCATGGCTCAAACGCAGACTTTAGCGACGATTGGGTATATGTCACCAGGTGCAATAAGTACTTACGATTCCCGAGTCTTTTAACATTAATAATGCCTTCGTCCTAGCGTCTTGAATCGAATATTTTCTATGCAGAATATGGAGGTCTTGGAATCGTATCGACGGCGGGCGACGTCTATAGTTTCGGCGTATTGTTGCTAGAGCTTTGCACGAGGAAAAGACCGACCGACGAGATGTTTGCGGGGGAGTTGAGCTTGGTGAGGTGGGTGCAGCTGTCGATGTCGATGTCCGAGAACAGAACAAGCTACGGGGTTGTCGACGAGAATCTGGTTGGCGACGGAGATGATGATTGGGTAGCAAAGGAGGAATGCTTGAGATCGTTGCTACATTTAGCAATGCAATGCTTAGCCGTTTTGCCAGCGGATAGAATGAAGATTAGTGCAGTTGTGACCAAGCTAGAACATATTAGACTAGTATATACAGAAGCTACTGCTACTGCTACTGTTAGGGTAGACAAACATTAAACATACCGAGTGAGAGTGAGTGTTTATTTTTAGTGTACATTGTATAATTCTATCTTGTATTTTTAGTAAAAAATATATTGTATTTTATTTATTAATGTGAAATTTTTTAATGTGTGTGAGATATCTTCTTCGTTAAAGAAAGGTAAAATATCAACTATCAATTAATAGTTTATTTTGATGACAAATTGTTATTTAATTTTTATATAAAAAATTTATAAAATAATATGATTAATCAATTATTTATTTAGTTTATTCAAATAAAATCAATTAATATTTTACCTATTTTATCTTAAAAAATATGTATATTGAGGTACGTCTGTAGAAGCAAACATTCATTTTGGACGAATACGATGCTTTGTATATATATTAATGTAACATAAGAGAGTTGAGCATAGTAAATGAAATACAAAATATTTTTTGTGTTTATATTAAATTACATGGAATATTATGCAATTTATATTTAAAGACAAGGGGATATTTATCCTTATTTTTAATTTCTATCATGACTAACTTATTCTTAAAAGTAAATATATACGTTGGGTCCCAAATCAATGTATATGTTCAAAGATCATTTTAACAAAAACCCTAATGTAAATAATAATTAATATAGAAGCGTAATATAAAACAAACACAAAAAATTTGTTTGTGTTCAAGTAGGTTATCCATGAGTTATTTAGACAACAACTGAGAACTAATAAAATTGTTGCATAAACAATAAATTAAATCGAACACCAAGTTTGTTTATCCAGCCGGGGTTTTCCAACCTAATCTGACTACTAAGACATAAGCTCGATACATGATTTAATCCTACCAGACGCATAGTCTCCCATAATGATCATAATATCAACATAAAGTAAGAAAATAACTAACCCTGATGAAGAACGACGAATAAATAAATCGGAATTGTAAGCGCATGTGGTAAAACTAAATTCCTGAAGTGCAGAGCTAAATGTGGCATACCAAGCCCGAGGCGCCTGCTTCAGCCCATATAAAGCGCAACATAAGCGAAAAACCTTTTAAAAAAGGAGAAACCTGGAGAATGAGTCATATAAACATCTTAAAAAAGAGTGTCATGTAAGAATGTGTTCTTGACATCTAACTAAAAAAGTGACCACCGACGAACAATAGCAACGACAAGAAGACAACGAACAGTAGTGAGACGAGCAACGGGAGCAAAGGTCTCCTCATAGTCCACCCCATACTACTGAGAATAACCTTTGGCCACTTGACGAGTCTTGTAGCACTCAACAGAACTATCAGAGTGTGTTTTGATTTTAAAGATCCATTTGCATCCAATAGGAGTCTTGCTAGAGGACAAATCAACTAAATCCCAAGTGTGAGTCTCGTCCAGAGCCTGCAACTCCTCAGTAATAGCTTGCTGCTATAATGGATCCGCATTCGCCTCACGAAATGACCTAGGCTCATGGTGAGATAAAATGACAGAGTAATATGGTAATCAATAAAGTGAGAGGGAAGTTTACTTATACAAGTGGAGCAACAAAGGCGCAGGAGGAGGAGTCGGCTCAGGAGGCGCAGACGGAGCAACTTCAAGAGACGGTGACAAGACAGATTGATTAATGAACTATGGCGAAGGGGAGGGATGAGTGTCTGAGAATAGATCATAGAGAGATGATAAAGAAAAAAAAAAAAAAAAAGGAAGATGAGTTAAACTATGTGCTAAACTTGGATAAGGTGGAGAAAGAGGTTTAGCCCCAAAAGGTGACATGACGGGATATACGCAAACGATTAAAGATAGGATCCCAACATCCATAGTCTTTGTGTTCGACCCCATAACCCAAAAAACAATATAATCGAGCTCGAGGTTGAAGTTTTGTCTTCTCATAAGGAGGGAGAAGAACAAAACACACACAACCAAAATGATAGAAAAGGCTATAATCAAAGGACTGACTAAATAAACGCTTGAAGGGACTGACATTATTGAGGACTAACGACGGTAGCTGATTAATAGTGTAAACAACAGTCAAAGATGCTTCCCCCCCAAAAACGATCAAGACATTTAGCAGAAAGAATGGAGGCACAAACGGTATCAAGAATGTGGCGATGTTTGCTTTCTACCCCCCCCCCCCCCCATTCTGTTGAGACATACAATAAGGTGGTTGTTTCTACTATAATAGCCGTCACTAGTGAAACATTTTGGAAGATAATGGGGTTTAATCAACCTAAATCCCAACAAAAATGATATTCATTGATAAACCTACCAAATTGTGGATAAGGGAACAAGATGAACTATGAGAAAAATGTTATATACGTATGAGCTACGTATATTATATATGGATGCTACGTGGACGTTTTATTTATGAACACGATTTCTATTGTTGGCCAAATTGTCTCCGCTGGTTGTACGACGGTTTGGTGTATATATATGTCCTTCCCTGTGTATAATATGAATATAGAAAAAAACTCATTCAACATCTCTGCCAATTTCCCTCACATCCATCAACTTCGCATTTATTGCACGTACACATACATACATCATTCCATACATCTATCTATATATATAATATTCATATACAAAACACATCCACACATACATACATACATATATATATATTATACTTACCCAACTTACATATATTTATATATCATATTATATTTATTATTATATAACACGTTATCAGCACGATGGCTCTTGCCTATTTTATTTTTGGTTAAATGGATGCCAATCAAAATGATGCAAATATGTGTTTCATTGACAGTGCAACGATACATACTATATTGAAACACGAAAAATATTTCTCCCATTTGAAAAGGGAAAGAATGAATGTCAATACAATAAGTGGCAGTGCGAAATTAATTGAAGGCTCTAGAGAAGCCATTATATTTCTCCCCGCGGGGACGAAAATTGTGATACAGTATGCACTGTTGGCCACTAAAGCTCGAAGAAATCTACTGAGCTTTCATGACATCCGGAAAAATGGTTATTATATTGAAACTATGAGTGATACCGATGGTGAATTTTTATTGATCACCAATATCATTGATAAAAAGAAATGCATCATTGAGAGATTACTCTCACTCTTTACTGGCTTATATTATGCCAGATTAGGTGTTGTTGAAACACACCTCACGGTAGATCAAAAGACTACCGATTTTCAAATATTGCATGATCGCCTTGGGCATCCTGGCAGTATAATGATGAGGCGAATAATTGAGAATTCGCATGGCCATTAATTAAAAGATCAAAAAGTTTTAAACTCAAATGAGTTAACATGTGTTGCCTGCACTCAGAGAAAATTGATAACCAGGCCATCGCCAGCTAAAGTAGGTATTGAATCACCTACATTTTTGGAAAGAATACACGGGGATATATGTGGACCAATAGACCCACCGTGTGGGCCATTTAAATATTTTTTGGTGCTTATTGATGCATCTACCAGATGGTCACATGTTTGTTTATTATCTACTCGCAATATGGCATTCGCGAGATTGCTTGCCCAAATTATTAATTACGGGCACAATTCCCCGATAATCCAATTAAGACTATACGTCTGGATAATGCTGGTGAATATACATCGAACGCATTTGATGATTATTGCATGTCGATTGGAATTAATGTAGAGCACCCAGTTGCTCATGTTCATACACAAAATGGCCCGGCAGAATCACTTATTAAAATATTGCAATTGATTTCTAGACCATTACTGATGAGGTCTATGTTGCCCGTTTCAGCTTGGGGGCATGCAATCTTACATGCAGGAACACTTACAAAAATAAGGCCGACAAGCTATCATAGCTATTCCCCAATGCAGTTAGTATTTGGTCACGAACCAAATATATCTCATCTACGTATTTTTGGGTGTGCTGTTTATGTTCCTATTCCACCCCCCAAACGTACAAAAATGGGTCCTCAACGTAGATTGGGCATTTATGTCGGATATGAATCTCCGTCAATTATAAAATATCTTGAGCCTATGACGGGTGATTTATTCACTGCAAGATTTGCAGATTGTCATTTTGACGAATCATATTTTCTGACATTAGGGGGAGACAAAAATGAACCGAAAAGGGATATTAATTGGAAAATCCCATTGAAGTTTTGTGATCCTCGTACAAAGCAGTGTGAACTAGAAGTTCAACGCATTATACATTTCCAAAATATTGCAAATCAATTACCGGATGCATTTAATGACTCAAGCAAAGTCACTCGATCATATATCCAAGCTGCTAATGCTCCGGCTAAAATAATTGTCCCTGCTGAACAAATTGCATGTGCTAATGAATCAGCGACACGCTTAAAGCGTGGCAGACCACTCGGTTCCAAAGATAAACACCCTCGAAAGAAAAGAGGAATTAATGATGATAATCATGAAAATATCAGGAATTATATTGATAAACGTCAATCTAACGAAAAATTCAACCCTAAAATAATTGCTCCAGAAGAACACGATCTTGAAGAACATGATAAGACTATTGAAAACTCAATTAACTATGTTACTTCAAGAAAATGTTGGAGCCATAAATAGGCAATTATTGATAATGCCTTCGCATACAATTTAGCACTTGATATAATGGAAGAAAACGAGGATCCAGAGTCAAAATCGGTTTATGAATGTCGACAAAGAAATGACTGGCCAAAATGGAAAAATGCGATTCAATCAGAGCTTGACTAATTAAACAAAAGGAAGGTCTTTGGACCAATTGTTCAAACACCAGACGGTATAAAACCAGTTGGATACAAATGGATGTTTGTACGAAAAAAAATAAGCATAATAAAATTGTGAGATATAAAGCCCGTCTTGTAGCTCAGGGATTCTCACAAAGACCTGGAGTAGATTTTGATGAAACATACTCTCCGGTTGTTGATGGAATAACATTTAGATACCTTGTGAGCCTAGCAGTGCGAGAAAAACTCGATATGCGTCTTTTAGACGTAGTCACTGCATATCTTTATGGCTCCTTGGATATTAATATTTATATGAAAGTCCCTGAGGGATTCAATATGCCTGAAGCATACAAATTAAACCCAAGGGAATCATATTCCATCAAATTGAAAA